AGCTGAAACTGTAAAGCCATTTCTAATTTTGGCATTTTCAAAATCTTGAAGGCTTAACCTCCACCTTCTAATTTTGTTTCTTTGTAATATTTCTAGCTGTGTATTTCTAAGCCCATACTGTAAGGACATCATCCAGTTTTTATGCCATTTCTAGATGGATTTTCCCCTGGCTGACTTTATAATTTGCCCTGATGGGACTTTGCCTCATTAAAACTTAAGTAAAAATACTGCTATTTGATCAGTTGGTAGTATATTTGAGAGAAATTACTTTTATAAGGTATTGATGTATTTTACACACTTGCTTTTGCCACTTTTGATTATGTTGAATTATGTGGCTTTATGTTGAAATCTGAAAACTTGGAAGTCGATGTTGTGGAGTATTTCTGGGTTTTGATGTCCTTTAATATAACATCCTTTTCTTCTCCTGAGCAGCTGAGGGAGCAACATGGAATTCGGATAGTCAAATTATCTTTCAAAGAGTGCAAAGTTCTTCTCCTGAGGCAAGTAAAACACAAGGAAGGCAAGACAGATGTAGTTGTATTTGCTAAACTGGTATTTTATTTTGTTTACTTAGATGTGAAGATGATTTTTTTAAGTTGCCTGGACCAAAGATGATGTCCTTGTAAATATTACTGTCATTAAAGGCACAGTAAGACAGTAAATACAACATAGGGACAGGACATTTACCTGGCAATAGAAATAAATTATCATTAAGGACCAGAAATAATGAACACACAGTTTTGTACATAAGAATTCCTTCTGCATGTTTCAAAACTGTAATTTTTCCCAAGTTGTTGTTCATAAAAAGGCTGTTAAAGAGCAAAACCAAAAATCTGTTTGGCTTTTTAACAAAAGTGTTTATAAGAAAACTGCAAGTTATGACACTGTACCAGTAGATGGTACTGAAGAATATGTGGCAGATTTCTAGTGTTTTAGGGATAACATGACAGTACTGGTGTGTCCAGAAAATGACTTTCTCTGCATAGGTCTTTCCATTACCTGTTTCATTACCTGGCTGCTACCAGCGATGCTTATAGAAATAGCTTTTACATTTTTCAGCACCACAGAATGACATTAAGTAGCATGCATTATTGAACTGCCCTGTAACCATAATTAAAAATAAGAAATGAAAAGAATCGGTCACAAAAAGAACTTTCTGCCAGTCACATGAGCATGGATTTTCAGACAGAAGCCTGTGGAAATATCTTGTTCCAGAAAGTCTACCAGTGGGCAACAGCTCCACTGAAAAGGGAATGAAATACTTAGCGGTAAACATGTTGCTGATGTGGAGATTACTGTAATGAATGGTATCATGAGCAAATCCTCTTCAAGGATCCCCAATCCAATGGTCCATTCTGGCCAGTAGTTAAACAAAGATATACAAACATGTTAGTTTTAACTCATTTGGCTGCAAACTTCAACGCTGCAGGAAAATGAAAATGGGATCTCCTTGTAGATTTCAAATGCACTGATAACTGCCGGGGAATTTTTCTTTCTATCAGCTATCAGTAGTGACACCTCACAGCAAATGTTAGTCAGAAAGTTTCTGATTTCTCAGGCTTTCATTAAGCATCACCAGAATTAAAGATAGAAAGAGCATGTAAATAATGATACTTGGTCTATTTTTATCACTTCTTTAATAGCAAGGAAATGAAAATAAAATATGAAACTACTTGTGGAAACTCACTGAATCTGGGAACTTCTTCACTGAAACAGACTTTTTGTTAAATTTTAATGGAGGGTGAAAATAGATAGTGAAAATGCTGTAGTTTTGACCAATCCTTTTACTGACAATGTTTAGAAAAAGGCCTTGATGTTGTAGATGTGAAAAATCTGAAATTTTCAAAACTAAATTATTTCACATTCTGTTATCAAACTGACATTTGGTTTTGAAATCATTCATCAATTTTGTTGCTAAAAGTTTTGTAAGGACTGGAATTAAAAAGAAACACTTAAATTATAAATTATTTCATTAAAATTTGTAATAGTGTTTTACAGATTTTTCAGTTTATAAAAATTTTCCAGATTTGACAAATTTTCTAAACTCCTTAGGGAATAATTGCTCAATGTTTCATATTTTTTTGCCAGGTAGAAGTCTGTTTCTGCACTGCTCAAACTGTAAGGAGAAAAATCACAGGAAAACCATTTTATTAACCCTTTTAACAAATTTTTCTAGTGCTGAAGAAATTTAAGTCCCAATTGCATGGCTTTAAATCCCCATAGCTGAAGGAAGAGTGGATTTAGTGCCTTATTTCACTGCTCTTAAATAACTTTAAAAATTATTGTTGTTTCTTTTCTAATATTAATGTAATCTTCTTTGTGAAGTCTGGTTCAGATTTTCCAGGCAGCTTTTGGGAAGTAGGAAACCTTGAAAATCTCCTTGCTTATGAATAGTTTGGGAATGAACCACAGATGATGGAGGTGGAAGGACAATGCCTTGTATAATGTAAGGATTTGAAGCAGGCAGCAAGGTGGCAGCAGGAATATTCATACTCACTGGTTTTAAGACCAAGGGGGGTTGCCCAAATTCTCCTCTTGCAGTCAGTGAAGGTGGTCATGCTCCAAATGTTAGGGTTTGGCCCTTTTGGAAAAGCTTGTCTCTTTCTGACTGTAGAGGAGCCCACGTAGCTAACATAAGCATTTACAATGCCATGTGAGAACATTTTCTGCTCATGAAAAAGAGATTAATGAGCTAATTATTCTAATTAGCACAAAACTGAAGGCCCCCTGGAAGTGTAATAGTTTAACAGAAGCCTATGTTATATGTATTATTTAATTCTAAGAGTCTCTGAAAGCACATACCCATAACTGTATCTCAGCTAATTTGCTTGTGCCATTGCAATTGCAGGCAGATTTTCCACTAAGTTCAAAGTAGACAAGCACAAAGAAGTTGATTTTATATGGAAATGATTTTTTCTTTTCTTAAACTCAGCTTTGAAGTCCATAAGATTATCATCAAGAAAGAAGAAAAAGATTAGGATTATTAATATCTTATTTGGGGAAGATGAAAGTGCCTCCTTTATGAGAGAAATGTATTCCTCTAACACAATTAATAGTCTAAGAAGCAAACCAATGTCTGTTGATGAAGCCCCTAAGTGCCTCCTTGTGCACTTCCTCTGTGTTTCGTGTCTATTATTAAATAGCTCTATTTCAATTACTTTAAATAAATTATACTTAGCTGGTGATAGAAGCCATGAAAAGTCTGGACTTCAACCACTGCTTTTGTGCCTTCAGGGAATTAAGTAAGAGAAAGTGTAAATCCAATTTCCACTAGACAGGAAAATGTACTGAAAGACAAGAAGGTGGTTGAGTACTTTGGTAGACAGGGAACTATTTGAACTGTGAAAAATTATTTCAAAATGAATAATGAAAGAGGAAGAATAAATTAATTGAATGATAGGCAAAGACAAAAAGCATTTAGGAATTCCACTGGAGAGTGAGATCATACCTATTTATACTGTGTAAATCTGTAATATGTTTCCCCCATATCATCAGTATATTATAACATTTATGGATACAATCTTCTATTTGTATAATATTATCACACTTCTCATAAAATCAGGCCAAAGCTTTATAGTTTCTGGCTCTTTAAAACTTCTGAAATCTTTTCAATACAAAAACTACTTTGCAATGAAATTACGGCTACCTTCACAATTCAGGTAATTTCTCCTTACTGTTAAAGCAGTTTCTAAGGTGAAGGTTGATTTTTCTGTCCCATCACTCAATGAAGTCTATATAAAATCTGCTGTACTAGCTTCTATTCTCTGTGAATTTTGCTGTTTCTAGACTCTTCCAGAAAAGGCCCTCAACCTTGCCTACCTCCCAGGCCATTTCTTCCAGGCATGGCAGGACCCATTTTTTTCCAGGCCAAATTTAAGTTCAGTGCTTTCCGTGTTGATCACCTCTGGCTGTTAGGCATCCCATGCAATGTGTGTGTTGTAAGGAGAATTTTGTGTGGCCGTGGATGCAGAATCAGGGACTTTGTCAGGCAGGACTATTATGACAGGCAAAATAATAAAAGAAGAGAAAAAGCAACATGCTGCTGAAATCTCATCCAGGCATGTAAGTCTGCATTCACTATGCTCTAACCTTCCCAGTGTTCTGGTATTGCATAGATGACATCAGTTGCTAGTCATGGGCTGCTTATGTTAACATTTGCATACAGCTTTTTTGAGAAATCAGAAACTGCACAGGCACATTCAGAAGGATTCACTTTGAAGCCTGGTTGCCCTAAATACTTAAACTTATTAGACAGGAAGGTTGCTTGTTTCATGTGATGGAGATTGCTGTGAAAAAAAGAGAGATGTTAAACTGCTGGCCTCACAAAAAAGACCATCAGCTGGGATAATTTGTTATGTTGAAGCAAAAGTACCTGAAAGAAAGGAAAGCTATTGGCGAGATTACTATATATAGGTTTTAATAATATATCTTGTTATAATTGTGATGACAGCTATTATTTATTATACTCAAATTTTGCTTTTCAGCTTAGGTTCTTTATTTGAGGGTTTAACACTGTGCTCTTTATTCAAAAAGTATTGTAGTTCACTGCTGTTTATAAATAGCTTGGATAAAAGTTGGGGACCATCAAGGAATTTCTGGCAGGGAATATTATGAAGGGTTTTTTATATGTCAAGATACACCAGACTACAGAGATTTTTTTATTTGATCTTCATAACTTATCTCCATCTTCCCATTAATATCTGAGATGGGTTCTGTCAAACACTAGTTTTTCTAGAGAGTTGTTAACTATAAAATAGTCTCTGTGAGTGTAAAATGCCAAGTAACTTGGTGAAGTTGCAAGGGACCAATCCCCTTTGCTCAGCATTATCACCTAAGGTAGATTGCTCAGGACTGTGTCCGGTTGGGTTTTGAATGTCTCCAAGGATGGATACTCCACAACCTTCCTGGGCAACCTGTTTCACCCTCAGTTTTTCTCTTCTGAAAATAAGGGTTGTGGTCCTGCTTTTTACTGTTCCCTCCACTCAGGTTCTGATCTCTACGATCTCATGGTCACTGTAGTCAAGGTTGCTCCTGACTACTTCCTTGACCAGTTTTTCCTTTTTTGTAAGTATGAGGTCCAGAAGAAACACATCCTCTTGTCAGCTCCTCAATCACCTGTGTCGGTGTCGGGAAGTTGTCATCAGGGCACTCCAGCAACAACTTGCATTGCTTGTGCCTCATTGTGTTGTTCCTTCAGCAGGTATCAGGGTAGCTGAAGTTCCCAGTGAGGACCAGGATGTGCAAATGTGAGACACCTTCCAGTTGTCTGAAGAAGTCTTCACCTATTTCTGCTTCCTTATATAGTAGTCTGCAGCAGACACTCACAACACTCACTCACGTTGACCTGTCTGCTCTCAACAGGCTTATCATGTTTTCTCACATACAGAATAACTCCACCACCTCACCATCTTGGCCTATCCTTCACAAAAACCCTGTGTCCAAGATCATAGCTTTCCAGCTGTATGAGCTGTCCTCCCCCATTTCCATGATCTTGGTGAGTTTGTAACCCTTCAACTACACACAGACCTCTAACTCCTCCTTCTGTTCCCCACTCCCCATGCTGTGGGCATTAGTATATAGCATTTCAGAGACATCCACATGTGATTTTCAAAAAAGTATGAGAGCTTACACCATCATTCTGTCCTCTAGGCATTTCCTTATTCATGTGCATACTCTTGAGGTAGACCTCTTTAAAACTTATTTTGTTGCTTACAGGGTCTTGAAAAAAAGAGATAGATAAAAATTTATGTATTATCCCTGCGACAGTAAAGTACTGTTTATTTTCATCAAGATCCAACACTTCTAAACTAGGTGGTTTATGAAAAACATAATGAGAAACTAAGTCCAGTTTATGACTGGAGAAATCTAAATATTAGGTTGGAAGGTAAAACTGGTACCATTCAGAGCTTGGCTAATGCTATTAAAAGACAAATTCAAACAAATTCTCTAAACACCTTTGAATTTCTGTTTGTCAGTGAAAAAAAAGCACTGTTTGAACTTTGAAGGATTTATCAAAGATTTTGCACTGAGTTTTCAGCAAAGATATATCATTGCTGGGCTTATCTTCTGGCAAGGGCATATCATTTACTCCAGGTCTGTATCTGGTTTTGACTCATTTCCTCCTAATAGCACTGTTGTTGCTACCTGTGATAAAGGTGATATTCTGCTGCCAGACAAAGAAATTGTGCTTAGCTTAGTGAAAGACTGAGATCAACTTGTTTGATAAATAGGACTCCAAAACCACAGGTAGGAAGATTTTTAAGATTTCTGAAGGGCTTTAGCTGTTCATTATAAAGTCCTTCAATGTCAAACCTCCTAAATACAGTTACTGGAGGGAAGCAGGTTACAAGAGTAGTTAGATAGGTTTATATACCTGGGATTGCACTTTTCTTCTGTGATGAAAAGATGAGTCAAGAAGCTATAAACGACACAGAATAAAACCTCACCCCAGGCTGTTTCTTTTTTTGAGTAGTTGAATTCAAGAGGAGCAAGTTTAGCCATAAAGCCATCTTGGATGCATTGTTGAAAGGAGGCTTCAATGCTACCCATGTCCTGGGTACCAGCAAGTGGCGGGCAGTGAGTTTGGGGGCTCTCCCACCTCGCTGGACCCTGCTCTGCCCAGGATGGCCAGTCCTGGCCCCCAGGCACAGGTCTCCTGGGGAGGGAATGGTTTGCTTCAGCCTCCAAGAAGGCTCTTTACAGAGAGGTATGGTCACAAAGCATGGGAGAGGCAACACCTTGTGAGGAAAGGGTTGGGATTCTAGGGGTTTTTGTTTCTTTTGGGGGTCTTTGATTTGAGGATTGTGATTCTTTTTTTTTTTTTTTTTTTTTTTTTTTTTTTTTTTTTCTTCAGGGATTATTGTAAAGCTGATTCTCCTCCAAATAGTTCTGCCACTGTGCAAGTGCTGAAAGAAATACTGCTGACAGAAAATGTGCAATAATTTTCAAATTCAGAGTAGTTAAAGGAAGTGGAAAACCAGCTGGTATTTTACATAAATGGTTTTCATCAGCCAGTAATTCCCTAGGATTTGCTAAGTTAGCAAAAGATTCATCTTAACTTTCCACCATTTTCTTCCAGAAATCATGAGGCATTTCAATTGCCTTGGGATAGTGGTTCCTGCCTAAATTTATTTTCATAAGCTTGTTCAGACCCTGAAAAGAATCTAAAACTTTCTCCTTGTGGTTGTCTGAGAGTTTCAGTTCAGTGGCATCTCCATCCTGTCTTTTCAGGGGACGCACCCTACAGCCAAGGATGACAGAGGAATTCATTACAGTGTAAAGTGGTGGCATTTTGGATACTTGGGCTCAGCCAGAATTTTGGAAATATCAAAGTACGATTCATAACAGACTTGTGACTAAGACATTCACGTTTTCTTTTAAAAAAGAGAATTTGATTTTGCTGTTAACAGGTACTTAACACTAGCTTTAAAAAAAAAAAAAAAAAAAAAAGTGATCTCATAAATACACATATTCACAGACTGAGATTTTTTTAGACATTTGTATACCTTGGTTTTGCTGTTCCATACAAACAATTTAAATGGAGGCTAGCAACTGAATTTGAATTCGTGAAGGGTCTTTGCACAACAAGGTTTCCAGAGTTTATCTGGGCTTTCATTGCTACTGTAGAGAAATTAGATACCTTTAAATACCAACAGCATACAAAATAGACTGTTAACAGAAACAGGATTTATTGCTAATGGAAATTGAAAAGACTATAAATCTTTTGTATCTATGAAAGGCTGATCAGACTTCTGTTATTTTTATATGTTTGCATATGGGAATGTGTTTGTATCGGTATTATAATGTTCCAAAACCTGTTGAAGACAGGAAAAAGGCTCTCGTTGAATGTGCCAGACCAGCCTTGTAGCACCAGCATTCAGGAATCTTTATTTCCCTGGTCAGCTTTGTTTCTTCCTTCTTTCTGGATGGAAGATTAAGTATCATGGAAAGAGAGATGTACCAATCTCAAACGTACAGTAATATTTTGAATTACAGTAGGATTTGAGGAAAGACAAAGCCAAAAAATTAAGACATATTTAAGAACATTGTTATACAAAATAATACATGCATATGGATGGAAAGAAACTATTAAAATGTTGCAGACAAGATTCAGATAGGGAAACATACAAAGAAGAAGAAAAAAAGGGGAAGAATGTGAGATGAAAGGACTATTATCAAAAGGTTGTCATTAAAGTTGTAATTAAGTGGTAATATGATAGCTATTCAACTGGTCTGACCACCAGAGAAGATTGTGCTCTGTAACTAGAATGCAATAAAATGCAATAAAATTGAATTTAAAACTATAAAGAAAAGCCAAACATATAAAAATATTTAATAAAATAATTTGAATTTTAGAATAGTCTGAGGCATAGATGCAAAGATATCCATAAAGCAAGATTACTATGCCTGAATGGCAGCACTCAATACGATATTTGATTGAAACACACTGTTGTTTAAACAAATATACTTTTAAGAAATATTGGAAAGTTCTCATGTTTTTCACCATGACAGGATTACCTGAGAGTCGTAGTTTGAACCCAGAGGGCAACCGAGCATCACATAGCCACTTGCTCAGTCCTTTCCCCTCAGGGGTGGGGAGGAGAAAATACAACAAAAAGCTTGTAGATAGAGACAAGGAAAGGAAGGAATGATTCACCCGTTACAGTCACAAGCAAAAGACATACTCAATTGTGGAAGAAATAAACCATCGCTTTAATTTAAACACCGCCGTCACCAATACTTAATTTTCCAATCAAATGAAGCAGGACAGTGAGAAATACAACCACATCTTAAAAACACCTTCCCCTCACTCCTCCCTTCTTCCCAGACTCAGCTTTGCTCCTGATTTCTCTATGTCCTCCCTCTCAGGGGAGCAGGGAATGGGGGTTGTGGTCAGTTCATACCCTGTTGTTTCTACTGCTCTTTCCTCCTTAGGGGGAGGACTCCTCACACTCTTCCTCTGCTCCAGCATGGGGTCCCTCCCATGGGCTGCAGTCCTCCCAGCACCAAACTGCTTCCTTCAGAGTCCCAGACTCCTTCGAGTGCAGCCACCTGCTCTGGTGTGGGGTCCTCCACGGACTGCAGGTGGGCATCTACTCCACCACAGGCTGCAAGGGTCTCTGCACCAGCACACATTCTCTGCTTCCTCCTCCTCTCCCACTGACTTTGATGTTTGCATAGGTGTCTCCCTCACAACTCCCACTCCTTCTCCCAGGTTGCTCTTAAACACGTTATTGCAGAGGCAGGGCCACCATCACTAATTGGCTTGGCCTTGGCTAGAGGAGGGTCCAACTTGGAGCCAGAGGACCTTCGAGAAGCTTCTGACAGGGGGCCACTGCTGTATCCCCCTCCCCTGCTACCAAAACCGCTGTCACACACAAACCCAACACATTCCACCCCTTACCTCTGTGAATCACATATTTAAGAATTATCATTAAAATCTGCATTCATCACACAATATTCACAAACTTCACTCACATCAATGAAAAAAACCAACCCCAAAACTTCCCCACACTAAAATAAAAATAGATTATCACAATACAAAACAGAAATACATGGTGCCCCCTGTGAGAAACAAACTCACAAACTTTAGATTATGAGACTGATTATGAGAATGTACACAATCCACCCTTTGTCCCTTCACCACAACTATAACTAAAATTCCCATGATTATTCTGGTAACAGGGTTTGCCTGATCCAGTGTGGGTCCTTCTTCCTAACTTCAAAAGGCAATCCCAGCTCATGTAATATTAAAAAGCATACATTTTTGTACAATATCTTTTTCAGAAGCATAATGATTTTCCAGTCAGAAGCTGTGAGATTGATTCTGACACATACACAAAGCTATGTGTGAATAGAAATCAGTGTTAAGGAAGAGCAGACTCAGCCTCTGATTTCTAAAATTCCTGGCAGCATTGCATGTGCTTTAAAAAATGAAGATATGCATCCTCTTTATCTCTCTGCCATAAAAGAAGTCATTTCAATAAAACCAAAAGATCTACGCATCATAATGACAAAACTGGAAGCTGTCATCTACTAATCAACTGACCCAGAGGGGCCAGCATGTAGACAGAAGTGATCTGTGTTTTCTAGTGTTTGTCCAGGAGTAACTGGAAGTCACACTAACTTTAACAGAGTAATTTCTATACTTACTTGATGTAGGAATATAAGTTCTAATGACAAAATATGGCCAAGTGGGACATAACAGCATGATGAGCTGTTTCCTCAGGAAAGATCACGAAGCTGGTGACCCATTCAGGAGGTAAAGCACGAAGGAGAGGAAATGACCTGAGCCCACACAACTCCATGCTTCTCTACGTAATACCTTAAGTATCTGCATTCATATATATAAGGCCCAATGAACTCCAGTCTCAAGCTTTCCATAGGTATGTGTACATTTATATCTATTGCTTTCACATGTCTTAAAAATAGAATACGCAATGGGCAGCTCTAGAAACTTCATTGATTATTTAAAATATTATTCCCCAGGGCAACGCTGAAAATTTTCCAGTGAAGAGCTAGCAAAGAAAATAAGCATGACTTTGTAAGACCCATACTAAATATTATAAATAAATTATAAATAGATTTTATTTTATTTTATTTTATTTTATTTTATTTTATTTTATTTATTGAATTACAGCTGCATAATTTATCCACACCAGCCTCAGACTGCTTTAACAGCTCCTTTTGTTTTCTTTCCCTTGGACAACCTATTTAGAGAAAGAAAACAGACAGATGCTTAAATGGCTGAAACTTGTTCCAGTCTCAGTTTTGGTGGCATTTGGGAAATTATATTGTTTATGATTATGTTTGATGTTATGAAGTTATTTTCATAGCATTTACTCTGAAAATGGCTGTATCAGTAGTGAGTCTATCAGGGAGGATGCAGCTCACTGAGATGTGTATAAAAGCATTATAAAAGAGGCAGACACATAAGCTAGGAGAACATTAGAAGCAGACGGGCTTTTAGAGCACAAGAAGCTGACTGCTGAGCTCTGAGGTGTCAGACAGGGTAATCCATGGACTTTCTGTCTACTTTCCTGAGCAATAACAGACACTTAAGGAATGATGAACAAGAAAGGGACCTCACCTTCTGGGAGCTGGATGATTTCTGCTGATGTATACTTTTTAATTTTGTTTATTTTAGAGAAAAGAGTGGGATGTTCCCATCATTGCTAGGATCACAGCATGTTACCTGCAGAGCCAGGAAGGTCACAGCTTCAGTGGAATTGAAGGAATGGATATGCTTAAGCAACATTGGACCCAGAAGAGCACTAAAAAGAAAGCAGACTCTAGTTTTCAGGAGGAAGCTTGAAACAGAGTATCTGCACCATGGAAAAGTATCCAGATCCCTCAAAAAAATGCAAGTTCTTTGAATACTGGCCAACCTTCAGAGTTTAGATACAATGCTCCAGGACCACCCTGACAGTAGGTTGTGTGCAAGGTTTTTCTGCTACCAGAGGAAGGTGAATATTTGTTTCCTTTCCTCTGTGTTAATCAGGGCAATAACTCGCTCCTGTGTGACACAAGCTGTTCCCACTGGACCCAGATTTCAGCATGAATGTGAATGAAACCTCTGAGCATCTCTTCGACTCTGCTAGACAGAACTGTAAACTCAAGGACAAATTCAGAAGTCATAGGATTTGCAAAAGATCCCAAGTAGGGAAAGAAGACCAAGAGCTAAGGATGAAAACAACTCAATGCACTCTAAAGTGATTAACTACATTTCACTAACCATGCATAAACCCACCCTCTAATCAGAAAAAGAAGCAAAACCACATTTATTTCATTGTTTTTCCCACTGACATGAGGAGAGGGAATAATCCTGTCCCTGTTGTATTCAGCTCGACAGACATAAACACACCAGCATCTGCTCAAACTGGTGTCTAGATGCATGAATTGTGGGAGGTGGGAAGGATTACAAGCATGCCTCTCTCCCAAGGCACATCTCCTACTTCTTGGTATGTCTCCACTCAGTGTGCTGCCTGTTTTGAACTCCACATTAAGGTGCTCTGTCCCATGTCCTGTAGGAGAAACCTGGATGAAGACTGTGAATTCAGCTACCATAGTTAGATGTTACCTTAAAAATCGTTATCTTTTGGGGCTTGTATGCCTAACCCCCTTTGAGGATTCCTCTCAACTGGGCTGGAACTGATTAGCTTTATTGTGCCAGGGTATCTGATCTGCCAACTTCTACTATGACAGTTTCACATAGGGAAGAGAGTGAGAAAAAGCCATAGCTGACATGCCTGAATACTAAGGTCCACAGGGGGAGCAAACCTCAGAAAATGATCCTAATCACTGCACACAGCCAATGTGAGAAGGGCAGAATCACCTGAAATGATCAATAACAATATCTTGACAATAATTTTAATAGCTTGTATATTGACTGGGCACTGTTCTGGGAGATCCCAACAGATCTCTTGGCAAGATGAGGCTCCCTGTGTCTTTTATCTCATTATCTCAAATCACTTTACAGATACAAAAAGATTTGCAAAGCAATTCTCATTATCTTCATTGCACAGATGATTAAAGCAAAGGGTAGAGAGGCTTAGAGAGTACTCCTGGGTCCCTCAGAATGAGCAAAGAAATGTCCTACACATAAGCAGTTAACACTCTTAAAAGCAGAAAATTTTTGAACTTTAAGGTGGTGCCTTTCCCTGTATCTCTTTTAAGCAACAGCTGGCTGTGTTGTCCCAAACATGGGGGCAAGTGTTGCCTTTCTGCTGCCTGGACATGCTGTTCTCAGCTCCCAGGATCTTCCCTCTGGGCATGGCAGAACTGACTTCTCCCCCTTTCCGTCAGGGCAGATCCAAGATCCATGAAATTCAGTTACCACTGCCTCTTGAGTGTCCTACACAATGTGTGTGCTGCAGGGAGTGCTTTGCGTGGCCATGGAGGGACAGCCAGGCATTTCACTAGACAGAAGAGGTAGGTATGGCAACGAGTGTTGAGGAAAAGGCTGAGGTGCTTAATGCCTTCTTTGCCTCAGTCTTTAATAACAAAACTAGTTGTACTGAGGGAATCCAGCCAGAAGACAGAGACTGGGAGAATGACCCCCACACAATTCAGGAGGAGATAGTGACCTACTGTATCACATAGACACACACAAGTCTATGAGTCTGGATGGGATACACCCCAGGGTGCTGAAGGAGCTGGCTGGGGTGCTCACCAGGCCACTTTCCGTCACTTACCAGCAGTCCTGGCTGACCAGGGATGTCCTGACAGATTGGAAATTGGCCAGGGTGACATCTATCTATAAGAAGGGTTGGAACAATGATCCGGAAAATTACAGACCTGTCAGCTTGACTTTGGTGCCCGGGAAGCTGATGAAGCAGCTCATCCTGAGTGCCATCACACAACACGAGGGACAACCAGATGCTCAGGCCCAGTCAGCAGGGGTTTATGAAAGGCAGGTCCTGCCTGACAAACCTGATCTCCTTCTACAACAGGGCGACCTGCTCATGGGATGAGGGAAAGGCTGTAGAGGTTGTTTACCTTGACTTTAGCAAGGCCTTTGACACCATTTCCCACAGCATTCTCCTGGCAAAACTGGCTGCTTCTGGCTTGGATGATTGCACGCTTTGCTGGGTAAAAAACTGTCTGGATGGCCGAGCCCAGAGAGTTGTGGTGAATGGAGTTAAATCCAGTTGGCGGCCGGTCACGAGTGGTGTCCCCCAGGGCTCGGTGTTGGGGCCACTCCTGTTTAGCATCTTTATTGATGATCTGGACGAGGGGATCGAGTGCACCCTCAGTCAGTTTGCTGAACAGGAGCCAGCAGTGTGCCCAGGTGGCCAAGAAGGCCAATGGCATCCTGGCTTGTGTCAGCAATAGCGTGGCCAGCAGGGACAGGGAAGGGATCTGACCCCTGTACTCGGCACTGGTGAGGCCGCACCTCGATTCCTGTGTTCAGTTTTGGGCCCCTCACTACAAAAAGGACATTGAATGACTCGAGCGTGTCCAGAGAAGGTCAACGAAGCTGGTGCAGGGTCTGGAGCACAGGTCGTACGGGGAGCGGCTGAGGGAACTGGGGGGGTTTAGTCTGGAGAAGAGGAGGCTGAGGGGAGACCTCATCGCCCTCTACAGCTACCTGAAAGGAGGCTGCAGAGAGCTGGGGATGAGTCTCTTTAACCAAGTAACAAGTGATAGGACAAGAGGGAATGGCCTCAAGTTGTGCCAGGGAACATTTTGACTGGATATTAGGAAGCATTTCTTTACAGGCATTGGAATGGGCTGCCCAGGGAGGTGGTGGAGTCCCCATCCCTGGAGGTGTTTAAGTCAGGTTGACATAACGCTGAGGGATATGATGTAGTTGAGAATGGTCAGTGCTAGGTTAATGGTTGGACTGGATGATCTTCAAGGTCTTTTCCAACCTAGATGATTCTGTAATTCTGTGTAGCGATCATCCCAGTAAAACAAATGTTTTGTGATTGCTGTCACAATGATACTAATAACAGTAAATAGGAAATCATGTGAATCTCTGCAAACTAGCATGTTTGGCTGCAGGAGGTGCTGATTCCTTTGGGATCCCAGGAAAAAAGGCACAAGCATTCTCAAGAAAGTTAACCATGTTATTAATATTCCCAAAAAAGTGATAACAAGTTATAACATCTTATGTCCCTTCTGATGCTGAGAATCCCAAAATGATACATCATCAAATGGATGCTTCTGGCCATGGCATGGCACACTGCCCAGACTCCCCATCCACCAGCTTGTTGTCTTTAGAGTTTTTACAGGATTTTCTTAGAAGCAAAACAGCTCTATTTATAATTTTTACTGCACACTGCTTTGCTGTAAGGTAAAATCAAGGATGTGCTAGTGGCATTATCGCTGGTGACAAGTCAGTGCTGCCTATAGGTTCTTTGGTTACAACTGCCAGCTGCATTTATCCTATAGCAAGGATGTAGGATCATCATCCTAGGCCAAGTCATACATGTAGTACAGCATGGCACAGCACAAGCCTGCACTGCTCAGGTGAACTGCTATGTGGATCGCTGTCTCCTTCATGTGCAATGGTCTGACAGGTAGGACCCCCACAGTGTCGCTGATATGGTTATATGGAGCTGCACAGTGGTCTGTTGTTGCTGCCTATGGTGTTAGCAGGCTGATGAATGATTTGATGAATTCATTATTTCGCCAGTTTGCCTTTTCACTATATGTCTTTTCAAGCCTTGCAGATTGACTGAATCTCTTAGCGTGATCAAGGCATTGAGGACAGACCTTTTTAACAGTACATCCCACAAAAATCTCTGATATCCTGTTACATCTTAGCAACAGAGTGAGCCAGGAGTCTCCAGGTGAAGCACCAGCGATCATGACAAGCCCAAAACTCTGCTCATATGGCATCATATGAGTAAATGCACCGACGGGTGTTAAGTCAAAGGCTTTCATTTTGTTGCTTTTCACAACTAGTGTGGTAAGTACACTTCAGCGGGGATTGTTACCTGTTTAATGTGAGATATACCAAGATACATTAGGTTACTAAGATACTTAAAAAATGTATGTCTTTCCCTTATCTATCTGTTACCCCATAAAACTTTGAAGTGGTTTCCTTTAATGCTGATTCCTCAAGAGGATTGCTGTTTGGATGGTTGTCTCCACATGTACATTCCAACACAAGCTGAAAACCATCAGGCAAGGGAGATCTTCTGCAAATGTCAGCTGAGATGTGAGTCCTGCCTGTTGTGGCTCAAGTCTAATACTTCTAGACTTCTAATTTCATGTAATGCAAAGCTACAAGTAAAATCCAATATACAGTTTGATAGACAGATCTAAATATTTGACATCACTTAGATTGAATTCAGCGCCATTCAAAGCCTGACTAACACAATTTGTAGACAAATTCAATCACGTAATTTCCCCAAAGCTTATTAACTGATGTGAGTTTAAACTGATCTGAGTTAATGAATGTGAGACTTTTGAATCCCAGATCCAGTGCTTTGAAAATTCAGGTATGCTGTTGTCTGCGAACAGATAATATAAATAGTCCATAGCAAGTGTGTGAATGTCTCAACAAGTCATATTTTCACAAAGTTAAATGTATTTTTCCCCCAATAAAAACTAACAGACTAGTCTTATCTTGTCCTAAAGGTGACATCTTGCAAATTAATTTCTGTGAGATTATTAACCCTGTGAAAGATAATGAAGTTGAGTTGTTTCATATAGTTGATCCCAGGATAAAAGAAGCCTGATGTTTTTAGGGAAACAGAGTTTTTGAGTGATGTTCAGATAGGTCTTAAAAAATATAACATAGAATATTTAATCATTTTGAAGATACTAGAGAAGAAAAGGGATGTGTGAGGTTTAGATAGTATTTTTTTTTTCTCAAAATTTAAAGATAACTTCATCCAGAAAGGTCAAACTCTGCAATAATTTTTCAAAAGCTATTTAATTCCTTAAATAATTAAATGTAAGGCATAAAACAGTTTGCTGGGGCATGCTATGAGGCCAGATAACAGGTACAACGATTAGAGAAGGACTGGTAAGAATTTAAATGTTTAATTTGTTAAAGGTTTTGCAAAGCCAGCAAGTGCTTGGATGGAAGTATTACCCATGCAGGGCTCATGCAATATGAGCATTATAGCACCTCAGATAATACCTGCTTAGATCAAGAGCTTAGATATTAAACAGTAGACTTAAATACCAGCGATGAATGCTCTCTATTGATTTAAGCAAAGGTCAAGTTCTGTTCCTCAGGAGAGCAGATAGAAAGGTGCTCTGGTAAAGCTGCTGAAGAAGAAGAAATGGTTGAATCAGTGAGATCTGCAAAAACCCCATCTCCTGAAATCAAAATATTTTCCATGTGGATTGCTGTAGTAGCAGTTCTTTCTCATACAGAGCTCCTGTAAATAGAATTCCCAAAGCAAACTCCTGATAGTGCAAACAGCACTGATGACATTTAGTCCTAGTGCAGCAATGGGAGATTAAAAACTCTCAGGTACTTTGTGTGGATTGCTACTGAGATGTAATTTCCCTAGTTCTGTTAAGTTTAAAAAAAAAAAAAAAAAAAAAAAATATTCTTTACGATTTGTGAACTTCTGAAAGATGTAATCAGAAAATGCTTTCACATGAATACAGGCAAGTATCAAAGTGACAGCATTATAATTTGTTTCCATTGTTGTTAGAACTTTCAAGCTTCAGTGAAAGACTGTGAAAGAACTGATGATTTCTACTTCTACAGTACATGGTACATTTCTAGGGTAATAGATTTCTGGTCCATGAGGATCATAAAGAGCAAGCAAAACAGATAGTATTGGATGCAGCCATATTATTTCAAGGGAAAACCAATCTGCACAGGTTTTCTCAAGAGAACACAGCTGAATAGCCCATTAATAACAGCAGTAATATGGTTATTCTATCCTATAGTTCTAATAATCACATTCTAGGTCATTTTTAATTATGCAAAGCATGCATTTATAAAGAGTTCACAAGAAAAACTGTTAGGTACTTTATAAATATCACGGATTTTAGCTGTTTACTTGTTTAATAAGTTTTTTCCTCCCAAGGTTAAAAAGATGGCATTAAAAGAATGAATATTATCTTGGGCTGTTTTCATGGGCAGTATTTAACATTGCTTATACTGACTGATCAGTCACATTGGCACATAGTCTAGCACAAGAGGAATAATTTGAAGAGCAAAACAGTTGGTGGTGAGGACCCACCACATGATATGTCCACATAATATGCATTTCAGGAAGATTTATTTTAGAGATGCTGTAGCCTAGTCCTTAAACTGAATGCCCATTAGCTGTGCTTCTGTATAATTTCTTCCAGCTCCGTTTCAGCTGAGAGGAAACCAGAGGACATGTTTCACAACTGTTGACATGGTGAACCAAAGGCCAGCAAGGACAAACAAGTTGGGAGAGTTGCTTCCAATTGCATTCACTCCATGTCTAAGCAAATATGCTGCTATAGGTACAGCCTGTGACAGGAAATGGTCATGTTTCCTTCCCTAAAAGTGTTCAGCTGCATATAGCATGTCTAATCTGAGGAATGACATCTATCTGCTGGACATGAATTGCGGAAGAAGAGAAGTAACTTAAGTATCCTCTCCAAAGGAAAATCTTCAGTTTGACCTTATTCCTCTGTTTTCAAGGCCATGGTATAGCAGTTCGCTGCACTGGACACTAGCCACACATAGTTTGTTAGGCTTTTCTCCAAAGCCTTTTTAAGAAGTGCAAAGCCCTCTGGAACTGTATTCACCAAGAAACTTTCACATCATGTTAACTGCTTCAGTGGAAACAGGGAAATTAGTTGGTGATGGTTGTTCACACCATGGTTAGAAACCTCTGAAATACTGGGATACATTCTGACTCCCTGGGTTTGTTCACTGAAGTCAGTAGTTTAACAAGTCTTAGTGATGGACTTAACTGAAAATGGATAACACCCCATCTTCAGCAAAGTCTTGTTAAAGAGCTGGAGAACTGAACTTTGTTTAGAGCTTTTTGGAAAATAAACTGCAGCTCTTTGAATTAACAGATAGCTGAACTGAGTAGCATTTCAAACAGTATTAGTCTTTATAAGCACAACTAAAATATCTTCATGTAAAAAAATTATATGCTTTCATGTTTTTAGAATCATAATATACTTTCCAGTTACCTGTATTTATTTTAGATTTACTCTGAAAGAGAGGTGGTTTAGTATTAATGAATAAAAGATTCATTTATTAAAGCAGCTTCCAAGGATCAAATTTTAAAGTTAAAATTATCAGAAAAGACACAGAAAGTAATTCTTCTAGGTGATTTCAAAAACCATAGGAAAAAGGACAGGAGCAAATAAACTACTAGATTCCTAAACCCCTTCAAATGCTGATAGTAAAAGTTGGGAAATAAATTAATATGGAGGAATGGCAGAGGGGAGAGAGATAAAGGAAGTCAAAGGAGCAATAGGCAAAAGCCTTAATAAAAATGTTGTTTTAAATACACAGCAAGAATGAACTAGTGTAAGAATATAATCTCCATTCAAAATTCGATGTGATCTATCAAAAAGGTTCATTTAACACATCAAAAGAGATGAGTAGAAGTGTTCTGTTTACAGAATGGTCTGTAGGATAGGTGACATATATGTATAAATCTCAGAAAAACAGAAGATCAACATTAAGTACAAAGCTGCCTAATCGAGACATTAAAAACACACACAAAAAATTCATATTGTTTTCACTACCACCTACCTGCATGACTTCTTAGCTTAGGCTTGCTCAGGACTGGGCAGCAGAAGCTGTTCTCAACGTTTGATCATTAAGGTGAAGACTTTTCTAAACATATCCCTGGGGCTGATGCTGATGCCAGTTACCCAGCAGTAAAATACACTGTAGGTGTGGTCACTTCCATGCTCAGTAATCTCTCGAATTCCTGGCATCGTTGTTGGAAAACAGACATAGATTCCTTGAG